ATTTTTTTTACAGTGTATCTTTAGCCGTTTCTTGAAGATGGCTAAAGACTCAGTTGTTGGGCAGGTCATTCCACCAGCAGGGAACAGTTAAGGTAAAAGTCTGAAAGTGATTTTGTGCCTCTTTGGGATGGCACTATAAATTGCTGTTCACTTGTAGTATGCAAGCTTCTGAGAGGCGCATAAGTCTGACGTTTTTAATTTAGGTAAAGGGGTGCAGAGCCAGTGTTTTATTTATTTATTTTTTTTGTAGGCAAACATCAATGCCTTAATTAAAATGTATGCAAGCGGCTATTGGTAGCCAATGCAAATTGATGAAGAGAGGTGTGACATGCGCTCTTTTCAGTTCGTTAAAAACTAATATTGTTGTTGAATTCTGGAGTAGTTGCAGAGGTTTGATAGAACTGTCTGGAAGATCTGCCAAGAGAGCGTTACAGCCTGGACAGAACAAGAGTTTGAACAAGGAGTTATGTAGCATGTTCTGATAGAAAGGGCCTGGTCTTCCTAATGTTGTATAAGGCAAATCTGCAGGACCAGGCAGTTTTAGCAATGTGATCTGAGAAATTCAGCTGATCATCAATCACAACTCCAAGGTTCCTGGCTGTCCTGGAAGGTGTTATGGTTGATGTGCCTAGCTGGGTAGAGAAGGTGGCAGCAAGTCACTGTTAAGTGAGTCATTGCGATTGAACCGAATAATTTAAACGAGTGATTCATTCAGGAACGAAACACCGTCATGTTGCTCAGAGACACAATACAGTGCTGTGGCTGTGGTTGGAATTATTTTTGTTGTCGAAATAGCGCAAAAACAGGCAATATGGTGTCTATAACCTAAGTCTCTTAATTAACTTGTTTTCTGAACTGTTGTAAAAAATCAATATTACGTTTGTAATCATTTGGAGAGTTTTAGCAATGTGATCTGAGAAATTCAGCTGATCATCAATCACAACTCCAAGGTTCCTGGCTGTCCTGGAAGGTGTTATGGTTGATGTGCCTAGCTGGGTAGAGAAATTGTGATGTGTTCTTTGCTACAAACTTGCACTTGCAGTGGAGCTAGCTTGAGGGCATTATGCATCTAAAATAAATTTTGATGTATGAAGCAATGATTAAAAACTTTGTCTAACATGATGTGTGAACATGTGAATAATAATAATAATAAAAAAAACATGAGAATAAAAACCAGCAAGAAACATACTTTACAATACATTTATATTGTAAAGAATTTGTGCTAAAAAAAAACACACAAAAAAAAAACTTTTTTTTTTCCTGGGATGTTT